GCTTATATAAAAGCCTCGAGAAACTGCCTTCCTTTAGCAGCCTCAGGCGTTTCTAAATAATCTTGTAAACTCAAGATCCACAAGATGCAGAGTGCCTCACCTCCCTAGAAACACTGTGTAAGGTTTGTCTATCTATAGTCAACAAACATCAAACCAGAAGACCTGGGAGCACAATTTATTTGGGTTTGAATGCTTAAGTCTGTTGGTATGTATTTATTTGCCATAAACCAATGCTATACAGGCAAACATAGAGGGTAGCTTGGAAGGGAAAGGATAGCTGTGTTACCACATCACTCTGGGCTTACAGGGGGAATTATTCCAGGAAAAACAGTATACTGATACAGCTACTCTACTGCTGCTACCCAACTCTGATTGTTCAGTTCCAGGTGGGAATGTATTATGTCACATGGAAATATTTTTTAGGTATTTTTGAAAATGCATTCCTGAATCTCAAGCAGGATTATTCATAACTTTATTAATTAATTCATTGCTTCACTAACTTCAGTGTTCCAAAGTCAGTTTTTACCAGTTGACCATCTGGCCCACATGAACTATCAAAAATCATATGTAGGACAAAAAAAAGCTGCCACAGTGTATCCATCGGCATATACTGTGTTGGACAGGCAAGATATCAAACTTTAGAGCACGTGGGAGAAGTTCTTGAGAATTGCTGGACAGTTTTCAGTGGAAAATGCGGTGTCAGTTATCAGAATTTTTCATATAAACGTAACGGAGCCAATGAAAATTTTAATTTGGAAGGTTGTTTAGTTCCAGGGTAGAAGGAGAAAGCATAGTCAATGCCACTGCAGATGCACAGCAAGTGCTTGAGGAGAAACGTGGCAGGCTCAGGTGCATATCCCCACTTTGTGTATCTCCCCGCATAAAACCTCGGCAAGGTCTTGGTTTTATTCCAGTGGGAAATACTGAAATCTTAGGATGCTTTACAAGATGGGAAAAGCTTCATTTGCCCAGGTCCACATTTGAAACTTCTCCAGCTTAATTATTCCTGATGTCTGAGTGATTGCTTTAAAATCCAACAAAGAGTTTATAGGGCACGAGAAGAGTGTCCAATTTTCTTACCCAGTGCAAGCTGGAAGATGTGGTGGAGGAATATTTCAGTAATTAGCTGTAACACATCTGACAGGTAAATTCAGATCACAACTCAATAAAAATGCAAATAAAAGTAATTTTCCAGACAATCTTTCAATTTACCTCTACCACTGAAAGCAACATAAGTTGCATTTGAAAATCTGTAATTTGGCCACATCTGTAAGCACATCAGTGCTTTTTCCAATGATTCATTAAGTGCTTGGACCTGGGGTTTGCCGTATTTCCATGGGTAGAATTCCTAGGTAGGATGTTCCTCCAGCAGAACAAGCAAGCTGAGGCTGACAGATAACAAGTGAATTATCTAAAGCAGTATTTTCTTGTTGAAAGTTGCAGTGGTAAGCAGATAAAAGCCAGTCTTCAGCTTTTGGAAAGGAAGGAAGGAAAGCAGCTAATCCTGTTTAGACAGTTACAGTCCCTTTCCTCATTGGCACTGTCATAGTTACTCTGACCAGGAATGAGAGGGACTTCCAAGAGGTTTTATTCTTAGACCAATGTGACAACTCACCTTCTTGAGATAGCAGTTTCCACAGAGGGAACTTACATGACAGATACTTAGCCTTGAAGATGCTGTGTGCTCATCATTTGTCCACACAGGAAATGGACCACATGTACTTAGTTATCTATTTCTGTTTTCAGACAATTTAAGTTCATTACTTCAATTTTACTAACAATATGTTCACTCACTGCCCATCTCCTCCGGTCACTTCAATTTCTTCAGGCTGGCCAGTGGAAAACAATAGAAATAACAGATCACATTCAGATACTACTGAGTGCCCCAATCTATAGCAATTGGCATTGGCCTCTAGGCGCACCTTCCCTTTAGTTTGGATCAGGAGCACACCTTTGAACAGTTTACTGATCATCCCCACTTACAGTGCTTTCATTCATGTTGCAGAGTGCTCTTTCAGATGCAATGCAGTTGGCAGCTGCACTTCAAGGGTACCTCCAAAGTCCTCCAACTGCTAATGAAATGTGCAGCAGTCAAATCAGCTCCTCAGCGCCAATTCTCCTGTTAAAGTCACTCCTATTAGGCTGCAGCACCTGTTAATGTACACATAAGCTCAGACAGTTAACTCCAGGAGAGAATTAAATCACAGAATCTGATTGGAAGGAGACACCAGCCTGCTTAGGGACAGATCTTTGGTTTCCATTGCATCCCTTTTCTGCTGGCCAGCTGAGCTGGACTGAGGATCCCTTCCATAGGTTCCAGTTCTTCCCTGGATGTCGGCTGAGACCTGCATCTACCACAGGGCCCAGGATCCATCAGGTGGCATGGACTCTAGGAGCCAGCAGCCACTTAATACCCAGAGAAAGCATGTTGCATGGCAGTACCGCTACCTTCAAAAACTACTTACCTTCAAAAACTGTAAGCTAAATCCTAGGATAATTGAGAAATTACCCTCCTAGTTTATATGCCTTAAGTTTAATCGTAGATCAATTAAAAGCTTTTTACTCCACTAGGTGGTGTAATTTCTTTCTGGTAAATGTGGCCGTACAAATATTCTCCCTAATCCTTCATTCAAGATGGGGCCACAAAATAACCTACGAAAAGTGAAAAGGGAATCTGGTCTACAGGAGACAGCAACTTTACCAGGTCATGCCTCTTTAGCGTTTTCTGTGATTCCTTAAAAAAGCTTCTGTTATGAAAAGGTAACTTAGGTTTAGAACATTCCTAGATCCCTGAAGGAATAAAGTAGGAACCTGAAACAAAAATATAATGGTTCCCCTTTATTTCTGCTTACACTCAGGTGCCATCTAAACTGTTCATGTGATTCATCGCATGTTTATGACAGTGTAACATTCCTTGAAGTTCTCTCCTTGGTTTATGCCCGAGATACAAGATGATGCAGACAAATGTACTCTTGGATCTTTCTTGGCCAGTTACGCTTGCACTTGTATGACTATAGTCACATACAAGAGAAGCAGAGAATGCCAGCCCATGTATCAGGGTGTATCTTGGAGGATATACCCTGGCTATAGGTAACTCTGGTGGATACATCCTGGCTGACAAAAACCCCAACCTCCTTGGCTGACACCATTCAACTCTTGGCTTCAATTGAAGTCTGGGTTAAGAAAAGTATGTCTGGATCATAGCTTGCTATTTAGACATTTGAAGGCACTTACTTATTCATGCTCACTAAATAACATCTACTGACACACATACAAACAGACTTCAAAAACCAAAAACAACAACCCATCCACAGCACACCACTCTCCCTTGAGTTCTGTAGCTCCTAATCTGCCATGTGGTTCAACTCTCCCTAAAGTTCAACAATAAAGAAGTCCTTAATGAAAGAATACACCTAGTTAGTTATTATAGTGTTTCCAGGATGTCTTGTAGGTTTTAAGCTTAAACAGAAGTGGCAGAACTCACAGAAACAAACCAGTATGAGAAAAGAGGCAGTTGTTGAAAGCAAAATAATGAACAAAATCCATCTGGCAAACTGGAAGACATGCAGCTATCCCATCAGCTGCAAGCGCCCTTACGCTATCCACCCACAACTTCACTTGCATGCCCTTGGAGAACAGGCACTGGTAACATAGGCATTTTTTAGAGAGCAAATCCATTAGAAACGCAACCAAGAAATGCATCCAAGAGAGAGGGGACCATCAGCTTTCAGCGCTGAAACTTCCTGGTACTTCCTTACAGTTACAGTCTGTTCATTCAGGTTATTTATATATCCAGATACATTCGAGATTAGCCAGAGCAGACAGCTCTAAAGAGTTTACATGCCCACCATTCCCCCTCCAAGCACATAATTTAAAATACAGGACTGCCTACTGTGCATTATTAATGGCATTTCTAAACATTAGTGCCACTGGAGGATTTGCCTCTGAATGCAAATCTAACAAACCAATCATTGCCACTGTGGATGACTGATGCATGACAAATCTGAGGTATCTGCATCTACAGTTGTGAATACTACAGACTGAGAAAATTTGTCCGGAAATATTCTGCTGAATATTTCAAGCTTGAGTGGAAACAAAACCAGAAAGTTCCTCAACAGCTACAGAAAACACTTTAATGTCACAAAAATACAGTTAGCAATTGGATTTGTCTCACAACCACTTCTATAGCTCCATTTACTCTGGAATAATATTATCTAGATAAACAGCCTTCTTAATATTACCATCTTGTGCACACATTTAATCACAAGAGGAGAAAGAAGTGGTCTGTGCAATTGTTAATTCATACATGTGATAATCTTCACATTAAGTACTAGACTGCTCTGTGAAAAAATAAACCTGAGAAATATCATGACAAGTACACATTTACTGCTGCACAGAAAATGTATAAGCTATGTCTAATTAGTGATGTTTATGAATTTAAAACTTACTTACAGTCTGCTGCAAAATCTCATACCATAAGACTGCTTGAAAGCAGTACCAATGTACATAGCTTCATCATAAGAAAAAAGCACTTTGTGTTGGGCACACACGCACATTCTGAAAAAATGCATTAAGTATTTACAGGATGGAGGTTTGTGTTCCATTCAATCACTTTCACGCTGTCATTAGAATGTGCCCCTAAACCGAGGTGGGTTTAAGGGGTTAAGATGGAAAAGGAAACTTGGCACAGGGAGGCATCTAATACTGGCAACAAATCAAAAACATCACTGCACTCCAGTCTCAGCAAATGTGGGTTTTGCAGATTTCAGTTTGCAAATTGTGACAGCAGATGGTTGAAACCTGCCCCCGTACAAATCCCATGCCTGAAATGGCATTGCCTACGTTTACACACTCTGAGAAAGGAGACCTGGATTTTCAAAGAACTTAGTAACTTCTATTCCTACATACTCACATACTGGGATGCCTGTTACAGAGGGTACAGGACACCTTGAAGTAACAGTAAAATATTATCTGGCCACTATTATATAGCAAATTAACTTTTATTCAGATGTGGAAGTAAACACATTTACAAGAAGAAAGATCTAGGGAGATTTATTGCTCTCCTGAAATTCAGAGAAGTCCCACAGGCTCCCTGTCAGCATGTCAGTGCTTGAGCAAAAGGATGAGCAAGTTCTTTAAATCACAGGCTAACGGCAGTATCAGCATAAATTTGCCCAGAGACTTCATCTCCACGTTGCTTCCCGATTGATACAATCTGTGTACGAGGAGTAATCCAAATATTGGATTGCACATATTTGGCAAGTCTTACACCCCTCTTCACAGACAATGGTTTTGTCATAACTCACAATGAAGTTACTGTAATACTGCTGAAACAGTGTACTGTGTGGGACAGACAACTGCTTGGCCATTTCATATAGGCTTTCTGGCGTCAAGTCTTCAATGCCGTAAGTTTTAGTCAGGATGTATTCTAATTTCCAGTTCGATTCATTTTTCTTGTTGGCGTCTCTGAGATCCAAGTAAAACTGCCAAAGATCCTACAGTTAAAAAAAAAAAAAAGAAAGAAAAAATAGGCATGTCTGTATTGCTTTCTTCCCTGCTTCATTAAGTCTCCAGAGTGATATATTGATTAGGAAGCTGTCACTCCTCATTACTCACAACTGAACAGAAGGTCATGTCCCACCCCAAGAGCTGGGCTTACACCCAAAGCTGGTACTTGCAGTGCGGTAATGGGGGAGGGGGTTGGAGGGAAGAAAAAAGAGCCACAAAAGGCAGCAGCGGCAGTGTTAGAGGTCTCTCCTGTCCAAACTGTACACCAAACTCTGCTATGCTCATGTCTGCTTTAGGAGTGGGGCAAAAGGGTGAAAACCAGAAGTTTATTTTCTTTGGACACTGCTTGAGAGGTAGAATGGACAGAAAAAGAATGGTCCAGGGAGAATTTAAGGGAAAGGGAGAGATAGAGAGCAGGAGTGAAATCTGCACAAGAAAGGAGCAGCCTGTTATTAGCATAAGTCTCCAGAGAGAAACCCCAGCCCCAGACTAGCTGCAAGGATGCATTGTCACTGAACTCAGCGAGGTCACGATTTTACCCCAGATTACAGAGAGAATATATGAGTCATTCAGAGCCAAAATAATCATACAGGATTCACTTTATCTCCAAAAATCACATGGCACTACAGAATAGAAGCATTCGACTTTCTGAATTTATCTATTATTTCCTAATAAAACTAGAAACTCTATACAGGAAGGCGCATGATTGTAAAAGACATCACATGGTTAAAAGTGCTTTTCTTTATCTGCTCTACCACACCCTTCAGAAGCATTTCATGGACTGCACCCCAAAGCTCAGGCTATCACCAGCAAACAACATTGGTATGTAAACAAACCCAGGATTTCAGAGAACCTTTTTCACCATTGCAGAGGTCCTTGCAAATAGTTTTAGGATTCACCCCAGAAAATTTCTGACTGTCGAATGGGAAGTACTGGGTAGTCCTGCAGGCACAGAAAGTCTAACAAAGTTCTCTTTCAGATTTCCTTTCCTTTGCCCAGAAAGAAAAAGAAAAGTAAGCACCAAAGTTCCACCAATAGCCATAATACTACAAAGGCTTATAGTATTTTGCTGCAATTTTTAATGACACTATATTTAAAGTCTTAAGCAACGCTTTAACATCTTTACTTACCAGCAATCTATAATCAAGAAGATCATATTGATACAATCTGACACCAGGGTTATTGGACTCCATTTGCCATACGTTCTTCACTGGGGTTACAGCAGGTGCCACAAACAAGGAATTCACTGGCTTTTCTGCAAGAAGGTGAGGAAACAGCTTCCTTTCAATAATTTCTTTTTCAAACAAAGTTTTTGTCAAGAACCAACACAGCAAGAACCAGACTGACTGGCTTAGGTACACTAGCTTTTTTTCCTGGTTTAGCTGTATCACTGTGAACTCCTTCTATACTTGCACTGGACAGACCAAAATCTGTGTAAAATACCACAATACACATTCCAGTGTGAGCCAGTGAAGTCTGTCTATAGTAGAAACCTTCCACTAATTCAACTACCTGTGCAAAATGGTGTTGCCTATATGTGAGGTCACTGTATTTTGTGTATATCTACTGAAAAAATATTCAACACATATAGTTGCTGTCTCCATGCAGTATTTTACATGTTGCTTTATGTATTTCTGATGTTACTAGAAACACCAAGGTATCATCACCTGACCCTGACTTCACTCATCTAGACTAGCCCTGCACCTCGTATGTGAACACCAATCTAGACAGCAACTGAAACATGATGATATTCAGGGGTTTTAATTGGACAAAGTATGCAGGTAAAGTATGGAGAGGTTCTCTGTGGAACAAAAATGGAAGCCCTAACTATTCCTTTCTTCGACAACATCACAGCAGGTCAATCTCCACATTTTGAGAGCTAAGCAATCAGTAGGTTCTTCTAGAGAAGATATCACTACACTGTGTCTCACTACACTGACTTTGGCTACAGTATTACATCTTGAATTCTCTGGAATTTTGTCAAGAGGAAAATGGCATGAATAGAAAAAAGCCTAAAATTGTACAGATAAACACTAACTGTATTTGGCTACATGCAGTTTCACTAGGGTTGGATTCCTTTTCACTGGAAATTAATTCCATGATAATGCCATGTATAAAGGTAAATTATTTAGAATACTGTTACCCTAGTTAGCATTTTGGGCATTGCTTTTATGGGTTCATATCAAACATAGATAAAGAATCAATTAATACTTGGGTATTTTAGATAAAACAAAATAGTGGACATCTCACTGTTCTATGGTACAGACACAAATATTTAACCAGTCACTGGTTAGAGATCTTCTGTTAGAGATGTTAGAGTGCTCCATACAGCCATGCCCATGCTTAAAACTGAGGCATTTCAAGGCAAAAAACAACATTTTCAAACCTGGGTGCTTTTCTTGAAGGGAAATTAGCTGATCTAAGAGATGCAACAGGCAGAGACTTTCTTTCCCCTGCCTTCTGCTTACCCTTGTCTTAATTAACTTTGAAGCAGCAGGGAACTCAGCAGAGAGGCACAGTAATGATGCAGGAAACACAAGAACACAGAGCATGTCTAGTTGGCCTGAGAACATTCCCTCTGACACATTACACAATAGCAACTGGCTAGTATAATTTGCCCGTGTCACTGAGAGAGCAGAGAGGAAAGACTAAAAATTCTTGTCTAGGCATAAGCATTCATTAAAAAAAAAACAGGAAGCTCAGGGAGTCTCTTCTGACTTCAACAGAAAAAGACAGTCTGCCTTGCAAGGTTTTCTTTGGAAAAAAATTGGGAGTGTGTGAGGCTTGAACTCTTGTAGATAAACAGCAGTACTTCGCAATTTCCTTTTCCTATTATTTATAACAGAGGTTGACTAGTAAGAACATGAAAGAAAGTCTTAATTTGCTTTTAATCGAGAAGAAAAAGGTGAAGGATTCAACAAGCATCATTACCTTCTTCATCCAGGAGGACCATGATACTATCTCTATGCGTATGTCCAAAAAACTGCCCTGCAATAACGCTACTGTATTTGCGAAAAATCATTACCAGTCGCTCATTGTAATACTCCCGGATAGCTGTAGTATTCTTTGCATATGGCAGGTATCCTATTGGTACGTGTCCTATTATGTATACCTAAGGAATTAGATACAGAAAGCACAATTAGCACCTTCATTTGAAAATCATACTTTTAGCTGTAACTTAGAAATGGTTACTACAATTTCATAATAACGCTATCTTAGAAATGGCATTCTGAAAGCTATAAACAAAATACCAACAGTAAGAATGTTTAAATTCATAATGAGCAAAAAATAGTTGGTTTTTTTTAATGAATTCAGTATATTCTTGGGAAAATGTTGTCACAAATCTATGTGTGATTTTAGGCCAAAGGAAAATTTGATCAAGTATTTCAAATGGAAAAAGTTACTAGGGCAAGACTTATGATTTGGCATCTTAAAGAGACAGTAGGAAAAGCTTAAGTTAGAGTACTACAGAGTCTGCAAGGTCAGAGAGTCATGGAAGAACATGAAGAAACATGGAAGAATTGGTTAAAACCCCTTTGTCTGAGCCTGAGACTTGGTTCCAACTGCACACACCAACTAATATGCTACAGGGTTTTATGAAGAAAGGAAATCTCTCCTTTCTCCTGACTGTAATATAGTATCTTTAAAATTAGAACACTGTAGCAAAATGTAAACATGTTTCAAATAACACTTTTTCTGGTCAGATGATGATCCAATCCCCACACCAATCAAACACACACACACCAATAACTTATAATGTCACTTCAAAATCTGATTATTATAAAATGATTTATTCTAACACTCAAGTCATATCAATTGCTGCAGCTTGGTTAAGTTTCCATTCTAATTTCTGATAATTGTAATTATATAAAAATGTAACTGAAATATGCTAGCTTTTGTCTCATGCCAAAGGTGTACATTTTAAAATTGAAGGCTGTAAGTAATGAGAGTCAAAAACAAAAGTGAAAGCATTAAGTATTCTCATCCTGGCTTCTACTGTATTTCACATAGACGGAAATAAAAGGTGTAATTTGAGAAACTGCATTTAACTATTTTATTAATTGTTGTAGTATAACGTGCATATTCAAGGAAGAATTATTAACAAAACGAAATGTTGATTTTGCAGTATCTTTGGCAGCATTAATATTCTTCTATAATCATGTTTATATTTTCAGTCTCTACTTCTTACTTTTTTTTTTCTTTTTAAAGTTTAAAGAAATAATGCCAATGGGTTCTGTTCACAGCCCTTACCTTTTCCTTCTTTTGTGAAGAGGTTTCTAGTATTCCCTCCAGCCAAGTAAACTGGTTGGCTGGGTCAGTGACATTCACAGTTACACTGTTGGGGCTGTAATACAAATTTGTGTTCAAACTGATAATCCTGAGTGGTTGAGAGCTACCACTGGATTCAAACAGCTGTGTGTAGAAGCCACCTGTGAAAATAAGACCAACACCATTTGAAAAAGAAAAGGCTTTAAAAGCACAACTTTAGAATGAAAGCATGTGTCTGACAAAATACCCAGCCTTACTTTTTCTAATAAAACAGAATATGGCATATTTATTTGAGCCATGCATCACCTTATCACAACAGAACATCTTAAGAATCTGGTTTTAGCAATATTTTACTAGAAGTTGACACTGAATTGTTTATGAATTTTTGCCTGTTCTTGCCTTTCTGTTTATTTGATAGTTTTCAGATGCAATTATCCAACTGACACACAAGAAATCCCCTGTAACATTTCTTCCACACTGAGCAATGCAGTAATTGTTTAAAAGTCCACATTTCTAGAAATACTGCAAATATATAGGTTCCTCCAGGAAGAACTGTTTTAGTTTAGCAACCTTGTCCTTTGAAAGTCATTTAACTTCAGACTGGAATATGACAAAAAGTAAAGATCATAGTTTTCAATCCAAGCTTCTAAAACTCTCCATGGCATACAGAGCTGCTTCAATGGGTGCAGTATCATAGACCATGGCCTTCACTGGAGTGATGGCAACAGAGCTACAACAATACACCTAAAACTTAAGGTCTGCCCCTTTGAGTTTTATTTTTCCTATTAGAGTTTCTACTTCCACTCTTATCTAGTGTTCCTTCTCGTTCAGGACATAAAATCAGAAATTAAACTTCTAAAACCCTAATACTTGAGTGGATTGGAAACTGGGTTGAACTTTTCAATCCTTTGCTAAAAGGAAAAAATCATCATTAGGATATCAATATTCTCCTAGTTTAGTAATTGAACACAAACATGATGCAATTAACAGTATAATTACCAAGACCTTGTGCTACCATAACTTGAACAACTATGTGCCTACTCAATATGCTCTGAAATACATGCACTATCAAAACAGAAATAACATTTCATCTATTTTTTTACAACCAAATTTAAGTCTTTTGTGCATCATATGCATCTAAAAAGCATTATGAGGTCTTGAAGACAACAAGATATTTCACATGCGTTGGTGCAAAGCCAGTAATATCGTACATGTTACAAGAAGCAATAATTACTGCATCAGAACAGAATAAATGTACCCTGAAGATAAGCATTGCTATTGAAAAAGACAAGTAACTTCTTCCAGCAGAAGCATTACAGATAATCCATTGTGCGGGTTTATCCTAAGAGACTTAGCTAAACAAATGGGACAAATCTACAGAAACATTAGTTCTCTAAGCCGGAGCTTTACAATGCATTCCTGGCATATTTTACCTTTTCTGAAGGTGTTGATTGCTTCATCAGTTAGCCAAGGCTTCCAGAAATCTGCTACAGCATCATAAACTTCACTGGTAGTTACAGGAAGCTGATCCTGTGAGAGAGCAGAACCTGCCTCAGTCTTAGCATTCAGGTACATACACAAAAAGAGAAATCACTAAATTATCCCACTTGACCTCTCACATAACACCTAAGTGCCTCCAGTCATCACCAGGAGGAATGTGAGAAAGGAAAAAAGAGCTCTGAACATCCAGTATTGGTGATGAGGAACAAATGCCTGAACATAGTCAGAACTGACTGCATGTTCTTGTTAATGCATTGATAAACTAATGCCGAAAATATTTCAAGCCTTGGAAGCACAGCAGAGTGGAAGACCATACAATCTGCAAAATTGATAAATATATAAACTGAAGATTCAAAGTCTAAAAGTCTGTTGGAGGAAAAGTTTGAACATAAGCTACTTTTATAGAAAGTTAATTTTTCAAGCACCTTGGGATTCATAGCTGCTCCTCAAAACTCCACTATGGCCCTCAAAAACATTCTGGTGAAATTCACAAATATTTCCATGATATCCTGTAGCTCTAGTAGCAAAGCATTTAAAACATTAAAGTTTTGTCAATGTTTTCTCCCACCAGCTCCAATTAGGACTGTAGCACTCTTCAGTCTGAGCCAAGTAATGCCCAAGCACCACAGCCTGGTAAGAGCCATGCTCTCCTCTAACCCTGACTGGAAGATCCCAGCCTGTCCTTGCCTTTCCTAAAATATCTGCTTGGATCCTTAGTGCTAGAAGAAAAAAACAGAGGTAAGAAAATAGAAAGAGTATTACAGCATGTGTTTTCTTAAACATAAAATTTGACCTTTCTGAGATCTTTGAAATTAAACCTACTTTATTAGAGGCTTAGGCACTAAGTCTCTGTTTAGGAGCAGTGCAATCAGAAGTCTGTTCAGACCTTTGCTGCTTGCAGTGCACAGACACCAGTTGTTAGGAAAGCTCTGAGCCACAGCAGTTCAGCGAGAGCTAACAGCCACCAACAGACACAGCAAAACCTGATCTCAGATAAGAGGCCACGTTATGGACTGCAGGCGATTTGGTTGGACCCAGGCAAGTCAGTGCTCTGTGAACGTACGGATCAGAGAGCAGTTTGGGAATTTGCTTTAAGCAGGGGCAAGGATGTGAAACAAATAAGCCTAGGCAGAAAGATGGAGGTCACAATAGATGATCTGAAAGGTATCTCAATGCTTCATTAACCTGAGTGGTATTTTTAGTAGGTTCTGCAAGAACAATGACCCAAGACCGTTAAATTGTTGAGATGGATGGGTCAGAACACAACAGAGAGCAATAAACTTCTCCAGTGCATGGCAGGCACGCAGCTCTCACACTTGCTCTGGAACAGACTACAGTGTGTGGCTTACTCCACATCACTTCCAGTCTATGGGACGTTTGCCAAGCATGGCCAGATGAAAAAACAGAAATGTAATCAACAGCAAAAAAAAATAAATAAATCCAACAACCTGAAATGACCCCATAGTGGGGAATTTCTGATCCCATGGCCTTTTTCAAACAGTAACAAAAAAGCGTGTCAGTTCTGCACATGCCACTTAACAGCAAAGTACCACAGAAACACTCCTGTGTGGTTATGTGCAGAGAGAACTACAACTGTTATTCTAATCAGCAGCCTGCTTCAAAATACTATTTACTGCCCATCTGTCCCTCCAGACCACTTTTTTTCCTGTCTTCAGATTTAATTTTGCAAACAAAACTCATAATTGTTGGAAAAGTCACTACATTGTCTGCAAGATTATTGTACACAGTTTTTTTTTCTTCTATATCAAAGGAGACTGCTGAATTACAACTATTCTCTGTTAAGACCTTTTAAAAAGCAAAACAAAATGGAAACAAAACACTGAGTAAGACTTCAGTTAAGGAGTTATTTACCAAAATACTTTACTAGTGGTTTCTGGTGTATGAACACAAGACAATGAAGTTCCAGCTTGGTTTGTGCACTCATATTCCCAAGATATGCTTAACTCTTATTTTGACTCTCACATTTTCCTTTCCCTTCTCTGAGCACCTCTGTTAATCCCTGATTTGGAAATCACTAACTCCACCAATGATACAAGCAATGGCACCTACTACACCAAGATGTAACTTGATAGGTCTAATAAATAACACAGAAAGCTGGAAAAAAAGTCTTTGGGGGCTGTGAAGCAATGTTACTGAAGTCCTAATAGGCATTTAGAACAAAATCTTTTAGCTGACCTGCTCCACATCCCTTCCAATCTCCTCAGATTCAATGACAGAATTTGCTTCTCAGTTCTGCATGCAGCCAGATCAACCCACAATATACTTTAAAGGACACGTGAAGCAACTGTTTGCTTTTGAGCTATGCCAAGAACAATATTCACAGAACACTGAAAGTAAAAAAGCACTGTCCTCTGCTGCAACAGCCCATGTATTCAGTAAATCATCAATGTGAATATTTCTAAGTGCTCAATAAAAATATGTATTTTTAATAACAGTGGCAAAACTATGGGAACATTACAAAAATTCTGCCATTAGTCTGATTAAAAAAAAAAATCCAGTGATGTCAGACAGATTTCCAGTACCCCTTTTCAGTAGGCCTTGAATCTTACCATGGGCTCACAGATCCATTAAGAATGTCACTTCTGTTAGATTAAGTTACTTTACACACATGCATGACTGACTTACACAGCAAGAAAAAAAAGTGTATTAACTATGATGAGACCTGGTGGTTCTAAGCCATGAGGAACAATGAGCAGTAAATTTGAATCACCTCAAGCAACGTACAGATTTTACCTGGCATCAATGTTTGCCTGGGTAACACCACACAGAGAGATGTACTTTCTGTTCTTGATTGGAACTATTTATAATTTTAAATGCTAACTGGAAAAACATCAAATACTGTTTCCAGAATAATAGCTACACAAATTTAACTCTTATTCCCACACGTTTTCTGAGGGGTTAGGAACACACTCAGTGTGACACATAAACAAATTTCTAACTCATTTTACCTGTGGCCAGTAGTCATGATTGCCCAGAGCTGGAAAAACCTGAAGATCTGGAAAGAAATGACGAATTGTAGAACTCATATTGCCAATTATGCTAATGACCAACTTTGTGGACAGTGCTTTTACTGGAACATGAGGAGGACTATCTCTGAAAAAAGAAAAGGCTTTATTAAAAGAGAATTATTAGCAACACAAGGCCAAAAATTCTGCAAACACACCTACGTTCTAGCATGCAATACTACTATAGACTCTTTAATTAAAAACATAGAATTGCCATAGAATCCTATGATTCACATGTATCACAACTAAGATTTCTTAGAAACTGAATTAATTCAACACCATCACTTTGGGTTTTATATCTTCTGTCATCCACACAACCTTAGAAGTTTGTTTTTCCAATTTTAACAACATCCTGTTGAAAATAAAGTACAATAAGTTAAGTGACATAAATTAATCACTTGTCTTTACATGTGTATTTCTTAACATCCTTCCCCTGGCAGAATTAAGTGACATAACATATATAACCTTTCCAGAAAAAAAGACCATGTCATTGATAAACAAACTAGTTCTCACAAACACTCAAAGATACTTCTCTCTTTGATAAATTATCCATTGATATATATCATAAAAAATTATGTGATGGTAGAATGGAGAATTTGGCTATGGCAGAGGAGTAAATTAATGCCGTATTTTATGAATACCTAGAAAGTAACAGGGCATGGTACTATTAAGCTCCCTTTCACACTTATTCCCCCAATCCCACTGCTAAGGCATACAAAGCCTCAGCTAACACCTGTGTGTGAGAAAGAGAGTATTATTATGCCCATTTTTTAATAAGGAAGACTGGCACAGAAAAAGTGTTTTACTCAACAGGGGACTGCACACATCCAAAACACTGCAATGAGGGACTGGGAAACCACATTTTCACTAGAAGCACATGCAGCTTTGAGTAAGAGTAACACAGAGAGAGACAGCATGTACAACACTGTTATCCTCCCCCCACTACTCCCTGATTTAGAATTCATACAGGTATCAAACTCGAATGGTAACTTTATACACTTAAAAAGAGAAGTTTAATATTTTAAGTCACAAAGTGTAACATTGCTTGATTCTAGTTACCTCTTACAGAACCAAATAAAGTCTAGCTAAAGAGCATCTTCTAAAAAGGGATGCACTTTAATGATCTTAAGACCTACAAAATCCAATACCTCCCATAATAATTCATTCCAGTCAGTTATTTCTCTGACTTTTCTTTTGGCTTTTTCCAATTCCCACCACCCCTGCACTTTTTTCCTTAACTTACACTAATACAGTCATGTGGTAAATGTCTCAATGAACAATGATATCCAGAAATTATTAGAAATCAAAATCTGTTCCTAAGACCTTGTAGTCTCACTGAGTCTCCTACTTATTAGCCATCTGGACAAATAAAGAGACCATTTTAAAGTAGCATTTGTGAGATACTAAACTCAGATCTGCTGGTGCAAATATAAACTTGTGAATTTCTGCACTGTATGGTTATCCAGCTGTTAAAAGCTTTAACTGCAGAGTGACTTGAACACTTACCCTGTCCAAATCATGAATGAAACCTGCTGGTTTGAATCCTTCATGAATGCAAATGCTGACAAAATAAGTTGATATGGAGAATCACACAGAAAGTCTCCAAAAGGGCCTGGGTTGGAGGCATTGGCTCCTTTGGAAGAAGAACAAACTTTGGTGCGATCAGGGGTAATGTGGTAAGTCGGATCTAAATGTAGGTCAGATACATGCCAGAACTGCCCTGTTTTCAGAAAACAAAGATTAAAGAAAATTTATTATTTGCACTTGAGCTGGATAGACATGGGTAATGCCAAGTTTGCTCCAGTTTGTCTACTGCTATTCCTCTTTCAAGTTTTGAAAAGGGGAATAAATTTAACAAATTTATGATTAGTCTGTCTGAGAAGTGTGGGCAAGTTCTGCATTCCTGACAAGAGTCCTTCATGTAGTCTGCTTAGAAAAACTGGAAACAGAAGCAGAGGCATAGGCTTAAGCTATTCAGCAGAAAAAAAAATGGAGGTTGGTAGGGACTGGAAGATCAGCTCCTTTTCATTAATAACAATCTGGAAACTGGAGAGCAGAGGAGGCAATAAGAGGGCTTCTCCACTCCACCACCTGAAAAGAAAGGGAGTTGCATTTTAATTATTTTTCCCGACCTTCTGTGGCTGGAAGCTACTATAAAAGATCATGGTCTAGAAAGAAAGGCAAGAAGCAGCATGTGTGCAATAACTTCAAAGCTCTTCTTCTCCCCAGCAGCCACAGCAGCAGAGAGACTGGGATTCTCACCAGAGATGTATGTCTGCCATACTGTCTTGCTACTTTCCAGGCTGACACATTCTCAGCCACTGCTGCTTAGCACTGCTGGGGAAAAAGAGCTGAGAAGTATAGGAATACAGTGAACAAGATTAATTAAGCTTGTATTGGACGACCAGACTTGAAGTTTCATGTAAAAGATGAAAAACTTTCTGTCAGTGTCAAAGCACTTGGGAAAGACACATATGTATCTGGGATAGTGGTTGTGAAACTGGGACAGATACAAATTGATAGTTCCCAAGGTCACATGCTCACTCCATGGCAGAGCAGGCCACTAGATCCCGTGGAGTTTTATTTCAGGAAGCGAAGACTAGCAGTGATCTTCAAAATCTGCAAAACTGTGTCTCCTATCAACAGGAGACAGAGAAATGCCTGGACACCGCACCATGCTTGGTCCAGGGCATGTTATGAGTGACAGGGAATTGAATTCCTGTGGAAACCATTTCGGAGCACTCACCCGCTCACGCTACTGTATGCTGGGCAGAGCATTCCTGTGCTTGCTATCAGCATCATGTTTATAGTCCGTGCCTCAGGACACCGTTCCAAAGGCAGGGCCGGGCTCACCTTACCTGGCACCGTCCTGAGCGACAGCCCACCCCGGGGAACTCAACATAAACCCTATTTAACCCTCCCTCCATACCCGAACTGCCATGTATTTACGTATTTATCAGTCACATGAAGTTGAAGCCGGCTGGGACAGGGAATATCGCCACTGCAGCAGCCTACGTGCGGGCACACTGAGAAGGGGAGGGAAAGGAGGCGCAAGATGGGGGGAGCA